CATTGGGCTAGAGATCAACAAGTCGAAAACGAAGACATTTTCGACTGAAACTTCTGCCATGACGCAATCCCTCTCGATTAATGGGGAACTTGTCAAATCAACCGAATTTTCCAAGTATCTTGGCTCTACGTTAAGACCAAACTGCCACGCTAAGGATGAAATCCAACTATGTGTAGATGGAGCTAGAAGAGCCTTCCTACAACTCCTCAAACCGTTGTGGAATCGATTCGAAATAAGCTTAAGCACTAAGCTTCGGGTTTATCAGGCTTCCATCCCACCATCCTCAATTATGGTTGTGAAACCTGGCCGCTAGGAGTACAAGATACAAAGCATCTGAAAGTCTTTGATCATCGCTGCTTACGGCGCATCTTGAAAGTACATTGGAGAGATGGGATTTCCACTGATAAGGTTCGACAGCGCTGCTTGAACATTGAAAAACTTTCAAAAATGTTACAACGCCGACGCCTGCAGTGGTTTCGCCATGTACCCCGAAGGCCCGATACTCTACTCTCGCGATAGGCTATAACCCCCGCACTGTTCCGCGGATGGCGTTGCCGATTCATTGGTCAACTGAAGACCTAGAGCAGTACGGTCAAGGAGGATTTGGAATAACTAGACCTCAAGTCCGCATTGGCACTCGCAACTGGAACCAGAACTGTGTGTGTCAATCTTGCTACCGATCGTCATGTATAGGCCACCATCATTAGAGGCGACCAAGAAGCCGAATAATCATTTCACAGGAGTTAGTAGAGCAAAAGTAAGTATTTACGATCCAATAATATACTGAAGAACCAAAAGTGTGAGCAGGCTTCTATTTGAAGCATTTATTTCATTTTATACTTCAAGTTCAACTTGTCGGTTTTCCATTGTTTTCGATATGCATTTAATGCTTTTAGCTATGGACTTGTTCCATTTTAGGTTTGTTCAAATTTATTTGCTCACCTATAATTTAGCTCAAGTCCAAAAAAATATTATTCCAAGGTTTTTGGTTGTACAAATTGAAAATGAAACCACCTTTATTAAACAGATCACAGTAGATGCAATGGGCTCCATCCATTCATTTTTACTCGACGCAATCGTACATAGTTCAATCGTGACACTCCAGTTTTTGAAATTAAATCTTCAACATAAATGTTTTTCGGTTATCTTAGATAAACGCAGCAGACAGCGCAATTTGAAATTTGTCTTTTCACGTGCTATGAAAGAAAAATACAAAACGAAGTCATTTTACGGCATAAAGTTGGCGAGAAGTAACCTTCGATCCTGCAAATCATCCTCAGCTGCAGGCTCTGATGGTCTTCCTCCGGTACTAATGAAATTCGGGGAAGCTTCCCTAACCAATATGATAACATCCGTCGTCAATGAGTAGCTATCATCCCGGTCGATTCTTGATTCCTGACGTCCAGTGACCATTATTCCAACCCCAAAATGAATGTCCTCAACTGTTCTTGCAAAACGGTTTTGTCGTATCGCGCTGACCTCAGCAGCTCTGAAGATGACTGAAAAAGCCATTCTGCGTCGGTTGCAGTTAATCGCCACACTTCCTTACTACCCTCTTCAGTTTGCATACAAACCAAACAGATCTACATTGCACGCCGTATCCACTCCAATGCATTTTATCGTCAAGTAATTGAACAATTCGGCCAAGTCTGTCCGTTGTGTTTTCGTCGACTATTCTTCTGCGCTTGATTCTATCTCCCAATCATCCCTTCTTTTGAAAATTGAATCTTTTGGCACTCAAGGAAACTACTCTCATGGTGTTCTGACTATTTCACAGAGAGGGTTTCGTGTACCAAATTAGCAAGAAGGACGCCAAAAACTCTTGTTAATAATTCTGTTCTTCAAGATGCCGTTCTATCTTCATATCTCTTTTCTGCCTTTATTGGTGATCTTTCGGTTCCATCCCCTGCGCAAAAGTATGCTGAGGAAGTTGTTTTGTCTCAGAAATTTTCATCTCCTTCGGAATTTTATTCTTTTAGCGAAAACCTATCCCACATTCAAAAGTTTTCTGACCAATCTGGTCTCATGCTTAACATATCTAAGTGCGTAGAATGTATTTTCAGTCTTTCCTGCTCCTCATTTCCAACGGACTCTGCTACCCTTAACGGTGAATCTGTATCCAGAATGAGTTCAGTCAAGTACCTGGGTGTCAGTATCGACAGCAGCCGTCATCGGTCTACACATATTTACAACTGTATGGGATAACTGAGACGCCTATCTTTTCAGTTACGCAAACTCAGGCAATTCCGAACCCCTCAGTCAGCTCTGTCACCTTTCGTTCATCAACACGTTTTACCCATTCTACTCTACTGCTCCCCTGTAGTGTTTCCCGGTCTTTTAAAACAAGAATTCAAAACAATTAGGCGTGGTTTGATGATCATCAGTCGTGCATCATTAATCCCAATCAATTCATTAAACACAGAATTCATTGATGTTCACATCAACTCTTGTGTGAAATTTCCCCATAAGATTTTAGATGACCCTTTTCATCCGCTACACCCTGATCCATCGTCTTGTCGTTCCCATCCGTTCACATGCTCCCCATTTTGGCATCTGCTCTCTCGCAACAGTATTGTTAAAAGGTCCCATGTACCCTACNGTACCCTACCTGGCCCGACTCCTAACCAAAAAAGAACAGGATGTAAGTGAACTGCGTCAAAAGTTTTGTACGTGAAGTAAATACCACCGATAGTCGTTACCTTTCGTGTTACATTTCATTATTATTATTATTTCATTCCACGTGACGAAAAGTGTACATTTTTAACTGAAATATAATCATATATGCTTATAAAAATTATACAAGTAGAAAATGCGAAATACGAAAAATACGAAAATCTTTCGAATTTTCTTTACCCGGCAAAGTAAGAACTATTATAGCGAAATTTCCAAAACTCGTTCGATTCCGGTATTTATTTATAATTATTTAGTAACTAAATCCTCTCACATATTTTCGTTTATTCATTCTCGTTCAAAACCAACGAACTCACTTTCAAATACACAACCGCTTTATCTGTGGGTCTAACAGAAACCTGACCCAACTGGGATGCGGTAGACTGGATCATCCGTTGGCTCCCCATATTCGATGATCGGTGAATAATAGACCGATCGGGGACAACCAGACTGGTCGAAGACATGAATGTCTGTTTGCCCAGCACATCTTCCACAATCCGATTCACGGCGTCCACACTGAGCATAGGCAGACGATCGGTCGAAGGACCACCACCTAAGGGTTGACCCTCCGGCAGTGGAACCAACTGATTTCCATACGTGATTATAAGGTCTGTCAATGTATAAATTTGGTATTGGAAAAGATCGTCGAACAACGCTCACTCAAACGTAGGTATCGAGAATGAATTCGAATGCAGCGATACACTAATGTTTCACAAATAGCAGTGGAATCGACAACATTTCGTGTGAGGGTAATTAGGTTTCCTGTTTGACTGAACACAGGAATTTACGAAGTCACGTTCATGATGCAGGCTGCGCGTATCACTCACGCACCACTGAAAGGCTTCAGAGTAACTGTTTGGTTGTCTTATCCCTTCGAGGAACCATCAGCAATACATATCCACCGAGTTCACTGGGATCCCAACCCGTGCGCCCAAAGGACTCACTGACCAATTCCATTATCCGAGCTGGAGCACTCATCACGTTTGCTGAAAACTATCTAGAACTATCGCTTCAGTGACAGTTTTATCGAATCCAATTCAGCGAAAAGATAATCAAACGGAGGATCTCACTACAACAGTCTGTCTCTGTTCAGTTCAGTTGTGTAAGACGTTAGCTGGTCTGGAGAATGATCCCCTTTTGAACACTTGGAAAGATGCATACTTGCGTTTGTTACATTTGGTATGGCATATCGGGATGTTCACGGAATCAGGTGATCCAGACCAGGTTGATGTTTCAAAGCAAAACAACATAATGAACTGTCTGTCGGTAGCCAACATTTTTAGAACACACAAGCCTGCCAAACTGGTAATCCGATCGTCACCGAGACGAATTATAAGTTCGCTAAGTTCAAAGAACCGCTAACAGCATTAGCAAGTAACACCAAATAAAAACAATAGAGAAATGAATAAACACGGAATACGGACAACTGCCTGAATACATCCGAATTTTCGCAAATGTTCTGTTTGCTTTCTACAGTTACTAAAGGTAGGGGAGTTATCACATTTGATACTTTGACCACTTTCAACGCGGATCCACTGCCTAGTTTCAAAATTTCCAAATACAGTGTATTTTTCCGAATTTTCGTTCACTTGTTCCTTGACAAATTTGACTTATCAGTTGGTAATTAGTGTTCGAATAGAATAACAAGCCCATCCGAATCAAGATATCGAATTATGACTTGAAGAGCCGAAATCATCTTAACATGATTACTATGAGGCTGTCAATAACCGTTACATATACCAAACAAAGATTAAAAAAGTGTGCGGACATACCATCCCAGGAAGTAGTTGATTTTCGTTTTACTGCTTCCGCAATTTTTTCCCCCAGTTCTGAATTGCCTGTTGCCGATTTGATCCCATCCAGTTTCTTTGCAGATTGTCCAAGTTCAGCCACCACATATTGACGAGCCAGTTCCTATCAAGGTGCGGTGAATAACTGGAATCAGGAGCAAATCAAGCTTTCATATTTCAAATGAAGCTGCGTTGTATCTTCAAAGGGATATCACTCCTTTGTGTTATAAAACTGAGAGATGGAGTAAACGATCAGTGAAGTTACAATCTTCTACATGATTTCCCTGGTAAGGAGCAATAAACGAACCAGCATTTCTCTCTTGACTCTGCGGTTTGCTGACTCACCTCTATGGTCCTGTAGCTGCTCATCATCAGTTTACACTGTTTCAGTCTAGTTGAATTCATTTGCACTTATGCGTGAGGTAGTCTACCACTGCATGAACGGAAACGTTCTGTTTCTGTTATGAAGGTCACAGAGATACAAAATTTGTGTAATTCGAACCACAGGGATTGATATGTTCCTTTGAGTTCGCGTAAAGATTACAAATTGCAGGTTGTCTCATGTGCAATCGAAATTCAGACTTCCGGTCAATCACGAGACGACGTTACCAGGTGTTTTAGTCTTTCAGAAGGGAAACTTGGCAGCAATTGGATCAAAGTTACAGATGTGAACAACTACATTTTGGGGCCTCCATCTGCTTAATAGAATCACTCTATGGAACCTAAATGCTATCTGGAGAAGTGGAGGGAAGGTCAGAGTGAGCAGGCATCTTCACTGGTCAAGTTTACATGAAAGTCTTAATTAGACATATCTTGACACTTTGAGTAAAATTACCGAAGAGAATTTCTAGGACGACGATGCATCAGGGCCCTTGTCGTAGGTGAGCTTCATGTGAATCACGAGATGAAGTCCCCCTATTGGCCCCCTCAATAATCCAATCTCGATCTAATCGGTGATTCGTGGTATCAGCTTGGAAAGAGTTTCAATAAGAGATGGCAATAAAAACGACTAATGAAGTTGTAGACCGGCTTGGAGTGAGTATGGAACCAAGAACTACTAGACTATTAGACGATTCAATATTGAGACAGTATTAGCCTGGTGGCAGCGTCACCAAATTATCACCCCGGAGGACGTGTTTTCAAATTCCAATATCCCAGTCTGACTTTCGTCGTTGTTCACTTTATGACAGCCCTTGGATTGGAGGCTTTCCTTTTTTTCCTGAAACATGTATCTTTGTATATTCAATAAAAGGAAGTAAGTGAAAAAAGAAAAAATGAATCAACCGGTAAATGCTATTATACGACTGACGTTTGAGGGAGGTGTTTTTGTGGTGTCACAGATTGCACTTGATTTTCTTATCTTATGACCATATTTTCCCCTGACTGACTGACTCTATCTATCTACTGACTCTATCAACTGTAATTAAATGTATTAAACAACCTTCAAACGTTTACCCAAATAGACGCTTCTTATTCATGGATGCTGAGATTGTTAATAATCATCTGTGACAAACGCCGGAGCCAATCTTGAACTCGGGTGTTATCGCATTCAAGGTAGTCAAACTCGTGTAACAGTAAAAGGATTTCGCTAATCATCAATCATTACATTTCAGTGAACAGAAGAACCAACAGTAAATTAGGAGATTATTTTCCTCATAAAGAAATGAATGAACGAATCTACTCCTCTTTCAACTTCGGTCATCGAAGCGTTTTGAAACTAGGCAATCAATACACTGGAGAAGATAACTACTATCTTTCTTTGTTTGATATTTTAGAGGCTCCAACAATGCTGTTCGTCTGATTATTGCAGTCCATTCGCCTTTCAGTCAATGAATGAACCAAAAAAAGTGCATGTGGTTTTTTATTCTTTCTTTTGCACATGAGATCCACGCTGGCATGGCGGATGAGCACATTTGACCAATATATGGGGAAATATTCCGTTTTTACCAGGAATAACTTTCAAAAAATAGGTCAGAATCGAAAAGAGTTTGGCTGAAATCCAGACGCGCAATCGATAAGTTCCTACATATGTCTGGTTTGGTAGCACCGGGTTGGAAACCACGAATAAGTAAGAGCTGAGAATGGTCAACCGTGTGTTAGTTATTCACTCGTGACTATCCAAAAGACCATAGGAATACTTGTGACCAGGTATCGATTGCTAATTTTATTTCACTGCTATGCTATATAGTATTTGGGAAGCATTTAGGAAAGAGTATTTACGGGCTTTGGGCAAGAGACTTTGTTCATTAAATAAACTTCAAAAGTTTTTCGGTGGGGAATAGTTACTCAAAAATCCACGTGCTGTTTCGATCAGTTTGCGAGAAGAAGGAATCAAAAGATGAACCCCTATTATATGTATCCCTGATAAATTGCATTTCCAAAAGGAAGCTTACCTGAATTTGGGCACCCTTAGCAGCCTTAGAAATATGCTGTGAACTTGTCCAATGCCCGACTGCATTCTCAATCGAAACTCCTAATTCGTACCCGCCATTCTCCGACCGAACGTTATCACCTTCCTCCACCGGTTTCTTGGATAAATAATGGTTCAACGGCCGAAACAATGCACCAGCTACTGCACAATTCAAATTGATTGCAGACAAAATGAGAATACACCCTCGCCAAGTGTAAAGAGAAATCAAATGAGGCAGAGTGAGTGAATAAACGGTCACGCCAATTCCACTTCCGGCCATGATTATCCCGGTCACAGTGGCTCGCTTCTTCACAAACCAAGTAGTGACAATCGTTGCTGCCGGCAGATACACCAGCCCGTATCCGATTCCTGTTGTGGACGAGAAAAATTGACGGCAGACACTCAGAGCATTTGTGAAGTAACACAAGCAATAATACCTATTGGATATTGAGGAAGGGGCAAAATTAAAAAAGGGTGAAATGTAGACTAATGTAAACACTTTGAAACTATTTCCTTTTTATTTTCACTTACTTAGCAACCCTCCGTGCAGTTGTACATTGTTTTAAATTTCTTACAGTATATTGGTTTTAGGTTTTAAACAACGAACAGAATTGAAACAGATAGTCGTCCATCTCTTTTGGCTCATATTGCATATTGTTGAATAACTGTTTGAACAACTTGACTGTTGTACCACGATAATCAAATTCAAATCAGAACTGACCCCATATCGACTGCTTCAACACAGGCAAACCTTCGTTAAGATTGTGTGGTAAACTGTTGTTATTTTCACTAATTCATGCGAAAATCTTGCCTGATTTCGAGCTGTTCTTGAATGGGAAGCAGCTTTTCGCCGCTGGCCATAATCAGCAACTTCTCATAGCCTTCAATCTCTCAAACAAGCTTGCAACAACTGCATAGCCAACGCACAGAAAATTGTACTGAGACTTGTCAAACCCAAAACGATGCAGTTTCCAGTCACTGTTTCCAGAAGTCGGACGTTCTGGTCACTTGCACGGTCAACATCCACTAACATCCCATCAACTAGCTACTCAGTTTACGATCTAGTAAGTGAATAACTTGAAAAAGCTGACATCTTTTTTTCATAATTTGCTAAAAGTCCTACCTGATCCACTCATTTAATTTTACCCAAATCCTTCGGAAAAACCTTTTCCACACCATTTGTACCGCTGGACTCCAACGAGTCATGGGTTTCCCTCATCATCCTCAAAATAAAACCTAACTGTTCTATATCACTTGAAGCAAGTTACTTTTTCATGCTTTCGACTTTATAACTTTCAGTTCTCTTCTCTCAATAACGGAGCAACTGTTGAACACTTTCACCCCTTTGATTTCCATTCCAACCTAAGACATACTTAGCTTACCACAGAATCGATAGGTTGATTCAAGACTCAATCACCTTTCCATCCTCTCGTGCACATTATATATATATATATATATAAAGTGAGTGATGGAGGATTTGATTTGATTTCGAAGGTTATTCGTCGTGTATATGGCAAACGAATAAAATAATATATATATTATATTATATTGTTATTATATTATATATATATATAATATCATTGGATTATGGCACTTACCGCGTTGAATGTACTCACTCGTGTGAAATCAAGCAACCGATATGTTTTTCATTCAGTCATTTCCAATCTTACGAATAAGAGGTCTCGAGTGTAATTTCCACTTACGGAGTGGTTTTTCACCCACAGACGGTCTAATGAGTTTATTTGCGAAATAGTTTTCCGTAATTATGTTGTTATTTCGTCCTGGTTGTGACTTGTCATCAATGCGTGCTGCTTTCTTTAATCTGAAACTGTGAAGCCTCGGAGGTGGGTTCCGGCTCCTAGGCCATAGTTTCACAGTTTGAGTGCCAAAACATAAAAGCTTGCTACGAGTCACAATGAAAAAGGAGGCAGCGGTCTGCCACTTTTTTAACCATTACACCAGCAACGTTATCGCAAATGGAAGGATCTAATCCAATAAAACAGATAGTTGATTTCTAGTGTTCTAAGGCTCGACTGTGGATAAGTGTTGACGGAAATCACATGGGTAACCCATCACAATTAAAGTCTCTTTGATGGATGTGATCATCCAACGTTAATCGAAAGAAGAAGTAACTCACCCCCGATAACACCAAACACAACGATAAACATATTCACATCCCTTGCAAACGAGCTGATCACAATGGATACAGACGAGATGATCGATCCGATCAGGACCAGTATTCGAGCTCCAAAACGATTCATCAATCCACTCACAATCGGTCCTAACAAGTGGAAAATGTTAATGGGCAGGGAAACCTCTTGTATGAACCATGCACTCTTGCAGCCGATTATGAAAATTTTCATTATGGCAACTAGACTTAGTGAAGCTACAAATCACTTGGACATTGATATAGTGTAAACATTTTGTTATCTATAACCGACCGCCTTCTGTGTTAATGATCAACCTTAGGTCACACACTATTAATTATCGTATAAAAAGATCATAAAAGAGGAACTCTGTAGCTCATGGGAATAGAAAGGGTTTTGAGATATTTTGTTTTGTAGGTTAACTGGTCAGTTCAGTTTGAACATCCACTAAACATACAACTTTGAGCGGTAATTTTGGTTGCTGCCCTTTGGATAGCCTTTTCAAAGTATAGGTAGAGGGAACATCATAATTCGAAAAGTCGTCTCAAGATGAAAACAGGGAATCAATGTGAACAAAGATTACAAAGACATTGAATTAATCCAAGAGTGACACTGTTTACGACACCCGGCCGTAGCACTCAGTGTCTTGTGCCACCGCTCACGACGATCCCGAGGTTCCCATCCTGGCAGCCGAACGTGATCTATGTGAGTGATTCTCACCAGACTCGCAGGAGAACGCTTTTGCATAAAATACGACTGTGTTGTACTCAGGCGTAGGTTTCATCAATATGGAAAGCCAAGCGTGAATGAAATATTTTCAGAAACACATACGATAGTGATTGTACAGCGGACTCCGAAAACTTCGGTGAATACTAAGCCACAAATGACAGCGCTTTTTTCTCGTACTGTTCACCCAATTCACGATCGAAGTCCTTTATGCCGTTTAAGAATTTTACCCCAAAACATTATTCCTTGATTCTAAATTGCAACCGGATGCTGTACTTTTCAAAACGGGGAAATACCATTGACTTCTTTGTACATCACAAATGTGTTCATTGAACCACTCGCGACCGATCGAGAGTTATGCTCGCTGGGGCAGATTTTTGCGGTAACTTGAATGCGGACGAATTTTATTCGTTCACAAACAATAATTATTGATTTTTTCTGGTTATTCACCCTAAAGGAAACACATCGGATGCAACTCGAACAACATTGTTCCATCACCCATTATTGGATTTGCAAATAAGAAACAAACAACGCACAATGCTTAGTCTCAATGCTTTTTGTTTAGATCAATGTCTACATTGCCAGTAGCAAATATTATCCAATTTTTAAGGCAATCAATTGCACCCACCCAGATTGTCTCAAAGGCAGATTGAGCAGACGGCTAGCTATTGGACAGCGATGTTTATCCGAGTGTGGAGCAAGTCGACAAATTAGGCGAATAAAATAGGGTGTAATCCACTTTAGTCACCCAGGTCGCATACCATGGTATACGACGGTAGGTGTCAAGAACGCATTTACGATTTATTCTTGTTGCTTTTTGCATAGAGAATGACAAATACTAAAATCATGTTCTGAATAAGCAGACATATATGCATATATATTTATATGTATATATATTTCACACCGGCTTGAGAACAAGCATGGTGCCAACGCCACAACAATAATAACAATAGAAATTACGCCGGGGGGGGTTGGGATACAGAATATAGCTGATAATCAGTCATAAAAGTGTACTTGTTTCAGACAACTTACCGACCATGAAGTAGCAACCGGTGAGTAACGATCCTGCCAGAGTCATTTGCATTTTGGTTGCTCCAAATGTGGCCTCCAGTTCGCTGAGGAAAATTCCGTAAGAGAAACACACTCCATCCACAAGCACCATGCAAACAAAGCTTCCGAGCACAATAAACCATCCATATCCTCCATCTGGAGGTAACGGGGGTTCCAGATCGTCCAAATCAATCTCTAATGTCGTTCCATAGAGGTCGCCCATTCCCGGATCTTCATTCGGATTGCTATTGTCCGTACACTGGCTAGAGTTCCACAAACCAGTTTCTGCCGTTGGCTTTTCCGAATGATCTGAAGCTTCTTGTGATTTTCTAGAGTTCTGTGAAATAGATATTTTTAAAATGAACTGAATGTTTTTCTTAGTATATTTTGGTGTTTAGGTTGAAAAGGTAACGTTTAATTTGACATTTGGTTACTTGAATGGAGTTGGATTGCACTGATACGTGAACAGAGGGAAATCCTCAGATGGTACGTTGGCACATATCGTTTTGTAACACAGTTGGTTTCAGTGATTGTTCCAAAGTGCGAGATACACAGACCCTCCGTTTGATTATGATCTATTGAACCTAACCTCAATTCTCGAAGTAATCAATCTGTTTTAATCCGAATGTATTTGGCAGGCTTTCAAGCTGGATGAAACTGACCGATACAAAGTAGGATAACGGCGTTGAAGTTCAAACCTCCGACTTATGGGATTATAGCACTCCGTGTGATGTTTCTGTGACATCTGGCCTTCCGTGAACAGCTATACACCTGCTGTAACCTTACCAAATGGTGCAGAAATATACGTCTTCTGTGTGTGTGGAAATCCATTCACAAAAACAGAACACGATGGCGATCAAACTTCCCTGGTGATTCTTGGCGTTTTTTCCAATGCTAATCAATATCTAGACTGAATATTATAATTAAAATTTACAGTGGCGTCGCTTTTTAAACTCTTGCATCAATATCATGAGTAACCCATAAGAATTCAAGCAACAAAATTATTAGATATTGCTAAACTAAATGGGAGAAGCTGGCACATTTTACATTAGAAGATATGTATCACATCTGAATACGTGTTTGTAATATAAAAGATTGCAACGACCATCGCAAACATCTTCAGCATTTTTGCCCTCGAAAATAGAAAGCTAAATCGGTACAGAAGTCGGCAAACTCTGCATAATCCGATGAGCTCTGAGGATGATGAAAACAAAACACTCTGTGAGAAGAGAATAAATTTTGCACAAAAATTTAACAAATACGGATATTCCGTTTTTTAAGTTGTTCAACGCAAATCTATCATGATTCAGTTTTCCTTTCCCTTTTTGGTCATTCAACTGAAAAGGACACAAATGTGAAATACAATAGGATTTACTAAAGGTATTGGAACTACTTTTGAAGACAAGTGACTGGAATTAGCAAAGTATTTAAACAAAAGGAGGATAGACACAGTCTCATTTGACTGACCTACAACTATGAATAGATTCAAAATCATACCCACCTGGTCCCATTCCTGATAGACTTTCAATATTTATTATTCGTTCTAAACCTTGTCACTCTTTGTGCAACCTTTTCTGGCAGAAGATTACTGTATACCCCGGACATCTCTCAAGTATTTACGCAGCAATTAAATGAGCTCACATTGTCTTTGAATGTAAAGAAGAAACTCAGTCTAACTTTTAAAAGATAGGGGTTTCCTGACTTTCCTGCGAGATAAACGATGAGCAGTGAAAATCTATTACATTATTAGGAGCAGCAAAAGTGTCAATGAGAATATTAAAACGAATGCTTTATTATCAGTCATGGATACTATCTCGACAGAACGCCCGATTCTTGAAAAAGCATAAAAATAAAGTCAAGCTGTTTTAGTCAGCAAAAATTCTAGTTATTCAAGACATTCAAATATGTATATAGTTTTCTTAGTTTTCAATAATTAAACGGACCAGATAGTGTTCGACCGAAATCGCTACGAATAGCGATCATACAGATACATATTTTACATGATTTCGTGGCATACTTTTCAAAGTAGGTTTCATTTTAAACTCCATTTTATTCTGATCTGCATTATACTTTCCCATGGTACGTTATAATCGAAACTGAACTAACGTTCTTGAGTAAATATTATATTGTTAACGGGATACCATAGAGATAATTGAATCGGTTAATAGTTTCTACTACCCTAAACACTACTGAAAATCGAGCATAATTCTCCAATACGATGTTTTGATATAATGATGAGGAATAAAATTTACTCGTCAGGAATCAATCAATGCAGAAATCTGGTTGTCAGATACGAATCGAGCGTGAGGTATTATCTAAAAAAGGGTAATTTATTCTATTCAGAGTTCATTCATATTCTTAAGGAAGGTTTGCAGTATATTTCATCCATGCACAATATAAAACATTTTGCATTTTCTAACTAAGTAATAAAACTGCGATGATCGGAAGATTTAAGGAAACCACAAAGTCACACATCATCCTGCAAAATGTGACAGCTGATTTGGTAAATGGGATGGGACACATGCATACAACGTTTGATTCCTAACTTTGCAGCTTAGTTAAAATGCGTTGTAATATGAAAATTGTGTGTTAATAGTTCCATAAGATAAAAAACTCACTTCATCTGTGGGACGATGCAACACCGGTACTTGTAAGAAATTTCCTCGCCGGTTATTTGATAACTCATAAGACATGATATCTGTTTTTCTGAAACTTCAAAGTGAAAGAATAAAAGCTTTTATATACGGCTGTCTCTCCAATTCACAGGTCTATGTCTGGGCGCGTTTAACCAAGCATTCGCTTAACGTGCGGCCCCAGTCTCCCATTAGTCTCTGAGTTGAATGGGCGATAATTTGGTTGAATGGTGATCGACCAATCAGCGTTCGGCCGGTTAGTCAGGAGGACAAGGTCATTCGCTCTGATTGGTCTGCGGCCTAGGTAAATATCCGCTGCTCGATACGATGTTAGAGCAATATTCCTGAACAGTCCACGCTTTGGGGCTAAATGAAGTCATAGTTTGAGGCTATTATCATAGGATTTTGTTTTGCTTTTGTTAATTTTTATTCTACTTAATCTTCAAGGTACAATTATTAAAAATACTGTATTAAGATTTCGTAAATAGATGCATTTCGCGTATGAACATCCGGTTTTCATCTGTGTTTATCGAATGAATTATATTTGTTTTCAAGTATCACGAGTTTCCAATGGAAGATTACCCTAGAACTCTGTTTCGTAGATAAATTAATGAACGCTGTTTTGACGAGCAGATGATAAGTTTGTGTATGTCTACTTAATTCTGGACCAAGACCAATATTTTACAGAACCTGTTCACTGCAACTGAGGTTATTGCATCATCTATGAAAAAGCTTTTGCTGAATTTACCCTTTTCATTACGCGGAACATCAAACTTGAATGAAGTAAATTTTTGATAATTCAAACGTATTTAGGATATCCATTAATGTGATAATTCACAATAATAATAATAATAATAGAAACTACTCGTGGGCGGTGGTTGAAGTGTAACTTATCACTAGAATTCTAATGGTAAAATATTTATAAATGCATTAAATGGTACATCTTAAAAAGCCCAGATGCATGTGAGCTGAAAGCAACAGTGACTCGGTATGACTGTTAATTCACGTCAGGAATTCAGGTAGTCCACCAGCTGATCGGAAGCGCTCATTATCTCATTGTGTGACAGGCATACCAAGCGATAGGGAACAAATTGCGTAATCTCCGAGTGGTGCGTGCACCAGTTAAGCAACAAGTATAAGAACTCATTCGTGAGTCATGGTGTTTTTTCGTCAATGCACAACGTTTACTCAGTTAAGGGACGAATCGTAGACCGGCCTGAATTTTCAGCTGTGTTTGCGATGGCACCCCAATGTGTGATAGTGGTAACCAGGATCTGAACATGACAGGTCTATCATCAAATTGTAATACCTAAGTAGACAACCCCTCTCGGCCCCTATGCTTGCGCAGCTGAATTAAAGCACAGCGCGAGAACTAGTGTGATTAGGTTTGGACTTCCAAGACGCCCACCCCCCACCCCGCCAATGCACACAACCATCATAATCATGATTACTAGGACCAAGTATGAGAAACGGAATCCTTACTATTGGTTTCAATTCACAGTACTTCACTAGGCCTGCCCGTCTAAACCCTGTGTAACAAGTCAATGAAATGAGTTGACTGAAGTTGAAAGGTCATTTTTGAGGCACGTAGTACACACTTTGGCAAAAATTAGTTATCCGAAAAAAGTCATTTCATTCGATGAAAAATTCGAATTTGTTGATTACAGATGATTACAGATCGATCAGGATGGAAGGTAATTAAGTTTGGATATAGAATGACTAAGTGGCTTCTAAAAGTCACTATCACTTATCTCTTAGAACTTTTCATACGAATTAGCAGCATTTTAACATCGGAAAAGCTCACGGTCACTTGATGACAACTCTATCGTTATTGGCTATAATACAATAAGATCTAATGTGTTCTCACTACTGATGAGACCCAATCAGTTCGAAACAGCTATCCAATGATTCCTAGATTTTTGGTTCACATTTCATTTTCTGTTAACAGGACAAACTTTACCATTTGTTCAACACAAATCCTCCACTAGTATCATGTTATATGTAGTTTGTGAGGGTTCAGCTCCTCATTGGTAATTGTCATCTTGTGAAATGATTCGCACGATGCTGTTATACTTTTATTTTCAACCATTTATGCCCCTTAGAATGTTTAACTTTTTCAAATAGAGTTGTTCCAGCATCCATTTTGGATGTCCCATCATTATTTTGCGGTGCGATGCGAATATGTGGACGGGGTCCCGTGGAGTATAGCAATCAGCTTTTGTTTAAAGAACAGCGGACGTAAGTAAACACTTCCATTCTCCTTTGCAACGGTATCATATTTGAGGGTGTGTGGTTCGACGCAGGAAGCCGAAGCTGTTGACCGATCAGCGCGCGGTAGTTGACAGTCCCAGACGTTTGCTGGCTAAAGTCTGAACTTCAAGCGCTCGTCGCTGTACCTCAAAAGGAAACAGAATAACTCGAATTTAACTTGGAAAATTCAACTTCAGAATTTTCAAATTCATTCTATAATGGGAAACTTACACAGCTAAACCCGAAAGAATCGCATAGGATCTTTGAGCACTCGATATGGAGGTTTCTGCACCTTAAATAAAAAGTATCCACATTCAATTACGAGGGTTAGAAAACTGGGTGTTTTAATGATTTTCCCAAACCTTAACTTGAATTAACTGATTGTCGGATCATAAATAAATCGGAATGCAAAAGACCTCCGATTGGTACGTATTCTCACGCTGAAAAAAATGCCGGCAATCTATCCGACTGTTCTGCAGCACCAATTAAAAAATGTCTATTAAGGTGACTATTCCTGGATAATATAAGCAGAATACTACGCACGTGATAAGGTTGATTCAGCCTGTTATACCAAGACGACATCCCCAAATTCGGTGTTTGTGATGTGACTGGAGTCCTAGTATTTGCGTTCATACAATCAACGTCTTGGATTACAAATCTTTGGCTGTTTCGGTCGCTATTCATTGCAAACACCTATGCGCTTTTTTTGTCACAGAGTAATGCATTGAAACCAGTATCGAACGATTGAATGTCAGCGCTAATTTGTTAGCAATGAAAACCACAAGGTTTTGCAGTTTTTCTTCGAGAGTGGAATATTTTATTCAACGTAATCAAACGTAATCAATTGCTTGTCATCAAAGACAAAAAGTATCCTTGCTAAAAGTAAAACTGCCTTTCAAACCCAGAAATGTTGTCTATCAACGGTGGTTTAGGTTGCAAAGTATTAAAGTCGTTGCCGTAAGATTTAATTCATAAAGCTTTTAAGAACCTTAAAGTAATAGTTCTTAATATGGCAAATCATCATTGAGTACACAGATTCTAAACCGGGAGGAAAAGGATCAGGCTCATGCCTCGATTTCCGGTAGGATAAACAATTGAGTGCTTGCAGTTGGTGAGTGCTATCCAGGATAGAAGAGCCGCTCAGGGTTACTTTGTCTGTTAGTGGGTAAACATTTTCCAACAATAAAATGTACTAACAGAGTGGGGAACAGTGAACGTCCAAGAACAACAACTTGGAATCCTGTACATGTGCAAAAAATTGCCACGGGGTGGAATGCAAAAAAATTCAAGACAGCATTCTACCTTTGCCGGACATCACTTTCCCTTTTTATACCCACATTGATACACTGGCACCAACGCATTATGCTACCTTTTACTAAGTTGAATTTAACGTATTCTTTCGCTCGAGAACTTTCGCCTTTCGCCTTAGTTCCGTTTACCGATTATTTTGCTCTCTGGTCTCTACTACATTTGTGCTTTGACGTCCATTTATGTTAGAGGGCACCGGTGCACCCATCCTATGTCCTACCGCACTGCAATACACGTCTGTTGCAACTACAGGTCTTTTAATTTAACTGGGCGTAAACTGGTTGCTTGTTAACTGCGGGATCCGTCTAGACGTGCGCCCACAACTGACCGCAATCGTCTTACTTCAGGCCAAACCCATAATAAATAAAACTAACTTATCTGCTACACTGAATATCGCTTGCCTTCAATACCGAAATGCTTGTGCCACTGTTTTAATGGAGATTTCAGTGCGGCAAACATAAAAGGGTAAAGCATAGAATACGGTCAGTAATATTTTAATGAACTATTAGCGTTTTTTGCAAGCCCTCATGAGTTACAACACAAGTCAACTTTTGATAATGCGAAGTATCAATATTGAAGAAGATTGCACAAAGAGGTACAATGTTTTTTCATAAGGCTCAACTAATGATTGCGATTTTTACTCTGATTTCCTTTGTTTGCTGTATACTCCTGTAGTATGCCAGTGTTTTGGATGTAAATGCTGGTCAAAATCAGTTTCTATGTCAAAAGTATGTCTTTCTAATTTTATTCATTTTGAAGCAGGGGAGGGACCCTTCTTACATGGTAGCAATTAAAGTACATGCCAGTGACAAAAAAGTAAACTTAAAACCGTTCACATTGATAGTTTGTTCTGTATAGTTCGGTGCACTGTGATGTAATCATCTCGCACATACCGGTCAAATACAAACCCGCCTTCGATTGCCAAATCATAAATCGCGTTACTGGTTGGCAATGCGTGTGGTTACATAGCTTTTTATAAAATCACGCATGATTCGAGTAGATTGAGATGAATGGTTATGCCACATATTCCATCGGATAAAATATTATTCAGCATACAAACGATCAGGCATAATAGATGTGATCCAAGGCCTTTGACCCAGATGGTGTGAAACCCACAGTGTAATATTCTCCTGGGTGTTCTGGTGTGCGAGTATTTGACCCATTCCAAATTTGTCGGGAACATTTCGCGCATAGCGCTTTCCTCGCAAATGTTTATGCTTCAACCTTGTGTTAAGTGCATGACCGGATTCTGTCCACATTTTAAAAACAAGTTATCTTCGTTCTTTGGCATGTGTGCGGGTGCATGTGTTCGAATCCCCCGCACCTGCCAAGGCCAACCAAATTAGGTTTATGACTCTCAGAGATCGAATGGCAGACGGGCACATGTCTTATTATGGCGATTACAGAAAATCAGTGCACTAATGTATGACAT